CGTTAGGGGTTTCCTTCTTTTGCAGTCTTGTAAGACTTTTTACAACTTTTAACAAGTAGGGACTTCAACATTAGGCATTACAAATATCTTCTTATATGGAAAAGCATTCTTTCATAGTACACAAGCTACAATGTGAGTAGTAGCGACTCCAGGATACACTTAAAAAAGAAAACAAATCTTAAAATAGACAGTTAGATTGGTGTGCAGGCAAGTAGGTGTTGGGAAAGCCTATGTAAAAAGTGACACGCAGTAGGCATAGTATGACACAAGCAACGACACGTCAGCTTTGCTTTCATTTTATAAACTCTGTCAAAAACGAAGTTATTATAACAAGATGGTGGTTGTAATTATCACACAGACAGACAGGCCACGTTCCAAGACAATATTATATGCTCGCAGGCGTCATCCGCAAGTAGGAGCAAGAAAAGTAATCTGTACATCTAGCACCATCACTATGTCGTCATCAGGTCAATGTAATCGCTAGAATCCATTACTTCTAACTTTACGCTATGTTGCTCTACTTAACGACGGACAATGTAGTATACTAGCTGGGATTGTTCCTGTTGCTCCGCAACCAGCCAACAATGGTATAGTAAACGCAGAAACAGTCTATAAAAACCAAATACACCTCTCCAGATCCTATGGTCAACAAAAGATAAAGTTAACAAATGTTTTATTAAAGCTGACTGCGCTTTATTGACGGCCATGCCCACCGCTCTATACTCTAGCATCCGAAATAATACGAAAAGGATTATGATTGCTTCTATTATAAGCATTAAACAGATCCTTTTTCAATTTTTGTATCTATTACAGGGTTTTTAGACTATCTTCCATTTGTTCTTTCGCTTGCAATATTCAAAGGTAGCGGTCTGTTGCGCAGCTCACATTCGCAAAAGTTAGAACTTCTCGCCTTTTGAATAGTTACCAAAAGTCAAGTGTGAAAGTGTATGTGATCAAATCGTAAATGCATCCGGACTGGAAGGCAAACTCTTCTTTATTATATAACCTATAACCGTTATTGATTTAAATATATATGTAATGATATACAGTGATCACTGATCGATATTTTTGCCATCTAGTTTGATATTGCGTATAAGAACCAAAGGGTACTTGACTTTCTTCTTTCTAATTAATTTCAGGCAGCAGAACATTTAGAGAAGTGAGATCTCTAGGGCTGCAGGCTGCAAAGGACCTGCCTTAAAGTGGGCCACGCCTGCATAATAATAAATTTTATATTTATTTTTGCTTAGCGGCATAAACGGACATGCCAACGAAAATTATGTTTTCTTTCTTCTCTTTGAGCATGTCGCGGTCGGTTTAGCGTATTCGTTCTTTTCAAAGAAATTTCAAAGTTTGCTTCCTCCGAAGTATGCAGCAATTCTTTATGACATTTTCTTGCCTTAATAAACAAAACCACAAATTCTTAGCATGTTCCTTTGCTTCCA